GTTTGGGGGGGGGGTGAGTAGCGGCTAGGGTTTCGATTGGGGTTAGATTTAGGGATTTCGGGATTTTTGGGGGCTTTTGATTTGGGGAAGAGGAAAGAGGAGGGAGATAGGAAGAGGATGATATAAATATTATGGGTATTGGAGTGGTCGGCCGGTGGTTGCGAATTACGAGAAACAAGAGAGAGTGAAGAGAGAGGAAGAAGAAAAGATTAAAGGGGAAATGGGGGTGAAAATCGGAGAATTGGGTATTTATATACCTAGGTTGGAGAGTGAGTGTAAGTCGTTGGATCATGTAAGATTGGATGGCTAAGATTGAATCTTAAACACTTACCGAAACAACGTCGTTTTAGCGTCTTCCAGGCCAAACTATCTGGAACAGGTCCTGCGCTATTGTGCTGCCGATTTTGGTCCAATATTTGGCTTAGAAATAACAAGACCAATCCCCTTTAACCCCCTAATAAAACTATTAGCTATAACATAACTCTAATGCCTACAAATATACACACAATAACCTAGAAACCAACGTAATATACGGGGGGAAGCAAAATTTAGGTATTTACAAGTATTCATTCACAATATCAAAATAAGCTAAGTCTAAAATGAGAGCTTTATGGACTATTTATACTATGGAGATAAGTATTACAAGTATCGTCACTAAATGTAATGTAGTCTTTAATTGTTGGCCAAATTGCATATGTAACTGTCACGTTATGATAGTAGCCTCCAATTAAAATTTAAAGTGCTCGATGGCTATCTGGATTGTATCATCCTCCCTCCTTTAAAATAAATTCATCTTCGAATTTGGACCTTTAAGCAAAAGAAAGGAAGCTTCCGTTAATAAAATTTCAATGTGGGCATAAACAAGTGCCTCAAACTAACAAGCAAATCATATTTTTACAAATTTATGATAAATCCAAGCATCCAAGCCAACAAGTAAGACAAATCTACCATTCAAACTAAAATTTAATGATACCCATGGACAAAACAAAGCATAAAATCTAACCAAAGTATGAGAATTATCATGAAACACCTCCAATCCATACACCAAGTGTGCCCAATATAAGAATCATCAAGAAAAACATTAAGCCCCATAGCTTTATCAAGTCCAATTATAAGCATAAGCCAAATAAACAATTCATTCTTGAATTAAAGCCGACATGAGACATCAAGAATAAGAATGGTATGTTCAAACAAAACAAGTCTCTTGGTTTCACCAATATTATCATTCAAGAAAGATTTAGCATTTTTTTCTTAAACTCATCATACCAATCCACATGATAGTTATCAACTTATTTTAAACTCAAGCACTAGTATGATGGAATAAATTAGCTCTATCAAATACATGAATGGAAAAAGTTAGAAAATTTACACCAAATAAAGAACTTTCTTCCTTTTCAAAAGGTTTACCTTCCAAAACAATCTCATTAGTAATCTCAAATGACTTCTCAAAAATAGAACCTTTGATTGGTCAATCCAAATCAAACTCAAAATATTCTTTCTTACAATCAAACAAGAAAGAATCAAATGGCTTAAAGCTTACAACTTTACCACCAAATTCATCTTCAAATAAACAATCATCACTAATTAAAGAGTGATCCTCAAAATAGAAAGCATGGACAATAGGAATCAATGGATCAAACTTAACAAAATCACATAAATATGCAATCTTTACACTATTTTCAACCTCAATCAATACTCTTCATAAGCAAATATGTCATTCAAACCATCAAAACAACTAGAATCACTATCTAGCATATCTTCACAACTCAAATAATCATTAGAATCAATAAATGTACCCAAACTAACACTTGAAATATCACTATGCTCATCACAAGAAGAAAGAGTATTAGGCTTAGCAACCATATCTTTATACACTTCTAAAGATTCTATTTTACCTCCTTGAAGAAAGAAAAAATATTCACTTTGGGCTAGGGTAGATTCGGTTACCTCACTTGGAGTTCTTTCTTGAAGACTTCTATTTGAATTTTTCTTCAAAGGATCTACGCAATAAACCAAACAACTAGCAAGAAAAGCATTAGTCATGAATAAATTATAAAAATGATGTTTCTAACTTGAACGCTCTTGTTCTCTCTCTTTTTTGTTACAACCCAAACCCATGGCATGTATTGTTCGCTTTGGGCCTAGGCCCGTACGGATTTGTCCTTTTGGGCTACGCCACCTCGAGCCCCAAAAGCGTACCATGTGAACTTGTGACATGCCTTATAAAGCACTTCACTTTTCTCTCCCATTCTGATGTGGGATTTGTCTAAGGTGACATGTGCGCCCCTTCTTCAAAAGCTTGTCAGCCTAGAAGTCTGCCAGTCCTGCTAGTTGGCCTACCCTCATCGGTCTACCCTCCATCATGGGCACAACATTCACCCCCCTTGGGACACAGCGTCCTCGTTGAGGTTTGCCCCACCAACGTACTGAGGGAGATTTATATCTGATACCATATTTGTCACGACCCAAGCCTATGGCATGTATTGTCCACTTTGGGCCGAGGACTGTACAAATTTGTCTTTCTTGGGCTATGCTACCTCGAGCCCCAAAATTGCATACCATGTGAACTTGTGCCATGACTTATAAAGCACTTCACTTTTCTCTCCCATTCCGATGTAAGATTCACCTAAGGTTACATATGTACCCCTTCTTCAGAAGCTTGCCAGCCTAGAAGCCTGCCAGCCTACTTGACCCGCCCTCATCTGCCCGCTTTCCCTCATGGGTATCACATTCTTTATTTTCAATCTTTTCTTTCCCTTCTTTCTTGTCTTTCTCACTCAATTCATTCCTATGTCTATAATCTTATGTCACTTGAAATGGAGTCAAAGGAGTAAGGACTATTTTTTGCCATTTTACTCAAAAGAATATTTATTAGTCCTTCCATCATGTAGAACACCTTGTCATATTGTCATGGCCTCCCTAACAATAAATGACATGCTTGCATGGGTACCACATCACAAAGAATGTCATCAACATACTTTTCAATTTTGAAACTCACCAAGACTTGCCTAGTCACTTTAAGTTCACCACATTCATTAAGCCACTAGAGTTTATAAGGATGAGTATGTCTTTGAGTTTTCAAATTCAAATTATCAATCATAGAAGCACTAGCAACATTAACACAACTACAACTATCAATAATCAAATAACACACTTGATCTTTAATCTTGCATCTTCCATGGAACAAATTCTCCCTTTGGTTCATATCTTCCATCATTTGGGTACTCAACACTCTCCTAACAACATACAAAGGCACATTAGGAGTGTCATATTCCATTGCATTATCACATTCGGCCTCCTCTTCATCACATGATTCTCTACTTTCTTCTCTTTAATAGGCTTCCTCCATAAGAATTATGGTTCTTCTATTAAGACATTCACTCATTTTATGATCATAACCTTGATATTTAAAGTACCTATTAGAGTTATGACTTTGAAAGTAAGGTTTAGAATTGTTACCTCCCTCCTTAGCCTCCACTTTTTGTTTGCCTTTGTTATTTTTTCACTTGGAGTCAACTTTTGACTTGTTTTAATTGGAAAAAAATTGCCAAGTTTCTTTGTTTTTGCTCCATAAAGTATTATCACCTTTGGATATGCTCTCTTTGAGTTGATTCTCTTTATGGAGTTTATTTTTAACCTTGATAGCCTCTTGGAGTACCTCATGTATAGTAGCAAATTTATGTAAAGTCATTTGGCTAGAGATTTCGTGTTTAAACCCGGCCAAGAATCTAGAAATCATGAGTCTTCCATTATCATCAAGATTGGCTCTAATCATAGTTGTCTCCAACTCGTCAAAGTAAGCCTCCACATTATTTTTTCCTTGCTTCATGTTGTAATATTTGGTAAGCAAGTCATTCACATACTTTTCGGGTACAAATCTTGCTCTCATAACCACTCTAAGAAACCACCAAGAATATATGATAATATCTCCATTCTATTTCTATCTCATTTCTCTTTCTCCCACCAAGAAGAAACATAACCAACAAGTATAGAAATAGCATGCTTGAACCTCTTTGCATCGGATATATTGATAAGATCGAACATCCTTTCCATTTGTATTTCTCATTCTAAAAATTCCTCGGGGTCCCTACTTCCCTTAAAAGTAGGAAGTAAAGTCTTGATGTTGTTAAGACCCCAGTATTCTTCATCTCCTCGCCTTTTACCATGTTCTTCATTACCAACATTTCCATCATAACCATAATCATAAGCATTATTCAAGTTTCTACCTTGATAATCCCAACCACACCTTCCACCTCTCCCTCTAAAGCCTCATTGTCATTCCTTCTAGATTGGACTCTAATTGGTTTATCATATTTTTCGTCATAGTCCAAATCATCATCAAAGTCATTTTGCAGTTGTTGTGGCCTAAGAGGTTGTTGTTGATGCTCAACTCTAGCTTGTCTAGCATGTGGAAGTGGACCTTGTCTTGGTACTTGATTGTTAGCAACTTGTGGTTGATTAATTAGCCTTGCAATGTGAGATGCGGTGAGAATAGATGTAGCAACCCCTTTGGGAGGGTGCTACTTACGAAATAAAGCTAATTTACTACTTACGACGTTCAAAAAATATAAATCTAAAAAGATTTTCATAATAATTTAGTAACGAAAATAGGCCCATGCGATAAGGTTCAAAGTGCAATATTGTTTTTTGAAAATACAGTTCGTAAAATTTCTTAATGAAATACAATGTCAAAGTATCAATATAGTGTGATACAATCCTCTGGAATAATCAATGCATTAAAACAACTTCCTAACGAAATTATACTTTTTATTCGACCTCACTGCAGGTTTGTATTGTACATGAATCTCAAACTAGCGAGCATAAAAGAAAAACCAGTCTTCTCCTTTGTACATATTT